AAAAAACATACGTAAGAATAGTTAAAAATTTATTAAATAAAACTAAGTATCATACATGTGCAAGAATACGTGCTAATTATGTAATTAAATCTTGTAAATCGTGTTTAATATACTTATAATTATTGTTATATCTATTTATAACTTTGTAAATATATAAAATTTTGAGGGAAATGAAAGAGTCAAAAGTTAAACTAATTTGTTTTGACGAATCGTACACATTATAATTGGTCAAGTGCTCTCCAAAGTACAGAAAACGGAAGTGTGGAAGCATTAACTTCCCAACTTGAGCTGTGAACTTCGTTTAACAAAAAAAAGCAGTCATGAGGACTGCCGACAGAAGTGAAAACTTAAAACTATATACAAACAGTGGTTATTTTTTTAATATTCAAATTAATTGTTTGATCTTAAATTAAAATTTATATATTAAAACTGTTTTTGACATGTATCCAGTGTTAGCGTTAACACGTCACGTGACCATGTCAATGACGACTTACATGCATTTACTCCCCATCCAAACCTGCCTATACAAGTTTTCACTTCAAAAAACTACAAATTTAGATGTCCAGCCGTAAATACTAGTCACTAGATTAACGAGGCAATAATACAAATAAAACTGCATAAGGTTTAGCAAATACAAAACAATTTAACAGCAAAACTGAAAGTTTAATAAACTCTATATTATATGTTATAAAAAAAGTCGAGAACTTAAGAACAAGTCAGCAGATATTGAAACTTTCTACATTAAGCAAAAACAGTGAAGCGAACACTGATGAAAGAGCAAGTTTTTCCCGTTCAGTAGACAAAGTACTTTCATTAGAATTGATAACACTCAATAATAGAATTTTCATCTGATTGGTTAAAGTTTATTGTATGTTTTGCATGTTTTTACCCGCAGCTCTGCTCGCGTACGTGGACATAATGATTAATGAGATATATATATAACCCAGATTATAACCTATTTTCATTCCGAGTTTCATTCAAATCTGTTATATCGCAATAGCATGAAAATTTCACAAATACACACATACAGACACTCAAAAATAATTTTGTATATATACTTATAAGGTTAAGTAAAGGTATAATAAGGTAAGGTTGAGTAATAGCTCTTTTTAAAATTTGGTATTATAAAATAAAGCAAAATATTAAAAAAAAGTTATAAAAACGACTTAAAATTGAATAAGAAAACAATGCTGGGAGTCTGTTGCCATCATCACATAAAGATTATTAAACTAAACATTTAAATAAATGGCAAACATATTTTCTTAACTAATGGTTTTATCTAAATTTTAAATAAAACTATCTTTTCGGAATTTTTTCGCGGATTTATTTTGATTTTTGGTTCCCGACGTTTCGAATGCTTTACAGCAATCTATGACTAGTCTATGAAAATCCTAAAAGGTAGTTTTATTTAAAATTTTCGCGTAAATCTAAGAAAGTTTTATCTACATATCAATAAAATATGTGCTTATTGCTTATAGGCTATAATGCCATGACAAACACTCATACTGTGATACTTAACACTGTTACTGTGTTGTTGGTTAAAAGTATAATTTTCTAACCTTATTTATCTAGATATCTCCTACGGGTGCGTAATAGAGTAATTATAATATCTTATCCTAAGTCTTGAAAGTGCACTTCATGAGCATTTAATGAGGCGACCGTAGTGTTACTAAATTTTAAAATTAATAAGGCCAAAATTCTAGTACACGGCCTGCTTTAATTTACATAACTTTAAATATTGCAACACTATATTACAAAACTTCCCTATTTTCATGATGAAATTTAGTATTTACCTATAAAATATATTATTATAATATATAAAATATCCACTAATTATTCTCCATGGATTTGATCGCGTGGGAAAAGGACGGAGATAGTAAGTAGCCTATACCGTCCCTATGATGAAATCTATTGAACAACTTAAGCGTAAAAGATAACAAAGAGAAAGACAGAGTTACTCTATCATTTATATTATTAAGATTAAACTTAATATTAACGTCTTCTAAGTTTTACTCAAACTTATGATATACTAGCGACTCACCCTCGCTTTGCTCAGGTTCGTCCCTAGGTGCATTTTAATTTTTTGAGCGGAACTCTAATTCTTTTACTGAAATAAAAGTAGCCTAAGTTACTCTTATAACATCAACTACCTGCCAGTGAAAGTCCCGTGAAAATTGGCCCAGCTGTTTCGGAGATTAGCCCGAACAAACAGACAGACAAAAAATTTAAAAATTGAGTTTTTCTTATAAATACCGTATATAATTCCATATATATGCATTAAGTAAAAAGCTGTTATTTTGACATTACAAACAGACACTTCAATTTTATTTATCCGTATAGATATAGCTACCCTTCGAATACCTTAAACAATTATTTGCAAAGTAAACTAAATAAATAGAAACCACACAATGTACTGAATAAAAGTCTTTATTAATTATTTTATTCTTTATCCCGCAGGTGTCTCTTGTGGTCTAGCTATCTAACATCTGATATAATTATTTGTATAGAGCTAATCATTAATTAGCTGTATAGAAACATTACGTTAGCTGGATAAAAGAAAGACAAATAAACAAAAATGCTTCAGCATTAATAATATTAGAAACTAGCGACTGAAACTCGCTTCGCTCGGGTATTTCGTGGGCTTTATTTATTTGGCACGGAACCCTAATCCTTTTTCTTAAATAAAAGTAGCCTCTACTTCTTATAACACCGTTTATCTACCAGTTAAAATTCCGTCAAAATCGATCCAGCTGTTTCAGAGATTAGCCGGAACAAACACACAGACAAAAAAAATGTTTTTTTTTTTAATATAATTACCGTATGTACTTTCATATGCATTTAGTAAAAAGCTGTTATTTTAACATTACAAACAGACACTTCAATTTTATTTATCTGTATAGATAATATCGCTAGACCCCTAAAATATATGAAAGTACATATATATTACAGTTCCTTATCAAAGTAGCCAGTTCAGTAACATTAATGTCCGTAGCTCTTAGCACTAAATCAGAGGGAAATAATGAATAGAGATTTACGAGGTAAATCGCTCATAAAGAGGGTCCGAATTCGATTCTAGATTCTCAGTGGCCCTGACATAAAATGTACACAGCTGAGCAGAGCCTTGTCTGATTTTCCAAAAGGTTAAACACGTTATAGCTAAAATTCAAATCTATTTCTTATAATATAATCTATAATATTAGAATACTAAAATATCAATGTCATACCACAAACATTATGACCACGATCAATCTGTCAAGTCTAAAACGACTAAGAAAAGAACTAAAACACAAACTATTTGTAACTCGAAAAAAGGGCCACCAGCAGAATAAATGACACGTTTAGCTCAGTTTGTAGTGACCCTACTTGTTGTGCCAGCGGTCTCAGGTTCGAGTCCCGCTAGGGGCGTTCATTCGTGGGATGAGCATGAATGTTTGTACTCCAGCCATGCGTGTTCATATTTATAATATGTATGTATTTAAAGTTATATATATATATATATATATATATATATATATATATATGTAGTGTATCAACAATCTGGTATATAACATAACACAAGCCTCGTAGATTACCATAATGTCCCAACATAAAAAGTAAATACCTGGCCCACCGAGCTTCGCTCGGACTTTTTAGCCACAAAACAAACAAAAAATTTGAATAAATACAAAAAAAAATAAAGTAAAAACTTTGTCCGACCGGAATAAGAAACCAGGCACCTGTGGTTGTCAAACTTGCGCCTTGGCCGCTTGACCACGATGCTTATGCCCTAGCGTGCGAATTAACGACCATATTTTGCGTGCAATAATGCGAAACAAAACCGCATGAAAACTCGAAAACATGCGTTTTCCCAGACATAAAACTAGTCTATATCGATTTATCGCCCCGTGTCTGTCTGTCTGTCTGCATGTCTATCTGTTACAACATCACAGAAAAACTACTGGAGGGATTTTGATAAAAATTGGTATGGTGATAGCTGGTTATCCAGGTCAAGATATAGGATAGTTTTTACCGCAGGAAAATGTCTCATTTCTGAGAAAAAAGACAAAAACTGCATTGTAAGAGTATACTAATATGTAAAACCTAAGAATTTGGTTTTTGATCATCTGAACGCGGGCGGAGCCGCGGGCAATGGTAGTTACATATATAAAAAAATCAATTGCCGTTCGTTAGTCTTGCTAAAACTCAAAAACTACAGGACCGATTTTATTAATCCTTTTTTTTGTTGGGGGTGTGTCAAGGGTGATTTAAGTATAAAAAAATAGGGAATACCCAAAAAAGCAGTCGAAAAATCGATGTTCAAAACTGTTTATTTTGTATATATATAATTATTAATATATGGTCTATTTATTCCATACTAATCGTTAAAACCTAGGGATGAACCCGAGCGAAGCGAGGATGAGTCGCTAGTATATTATATTTAAAAATTATATACTAAAAATGCGTAACCCCAATACGTATCGGAATCGAAATAATGAAATATAGATGCCAATCAAGAAATTAACAAGTACGTCTGTTATAACGAGGATCAAAGTGGGTGTGATTATTTTCTCATTTGAATAGAAGAGGAATTCTTTGATGTAACAATCAAGTCAATCGGTAATTTATTGGGAATAAATCATTGCAGCTATTTTCATCTCTTTCATCTTTCCCGTCTAATATAACAAGCCTAATAAGACAAACGATACTTCAAAATCTAAAACACTCTTCAATTATTTTCAACTCTTGTGAGTCGCAAAAAGAAAATATGATATTATGAATTCGTTTTCCGCTTAATTAGAATCCTCTTTTTCATCTAATAGAACTGTGTTGAGGGGTTTCCTAATAATGTTCTTTTTACCCGACTGCGGAGAAGCCCAAAAGACAGTTATGTGTTTGACCTGTATGTATGTATAAATATATGTATGCAATAATTTAAAATAACAAATATTGTTAAAAAAAACTGCAAATGTCTAACTGGCCAAAACTAAAAGTTATAATATATATAACCAATTTATACTCACCCAAAACAGTGATGGAGCTCGATACGAACATGCTAAGAAGCCATACGAGCGCTATCTTTATTACGACAACCCGTTTGGTTGAATGATGCCGGCTCTTCAGTGGGTTGCGGATACCAAGGTACCTGTGTAGAAAACAATGAAATTATTATGAGTACGGAATTTTATGTCTAAAACATACATACACATACACGTAAAATATGTAGTTCTTTTTTTTTTAAATTTACCATCGTCTATTTATCAAACCAATGCACGAATTTATATTTAAAGACCATATCATGTATACTTCCTATATACATAACATGGTCTTCTATACATATAATAAAATTGTAACTAAGCCGAATCTGTACATTAAATATTTTTTGGAAAAACTTATTGAAATAGAAATTATTATCAATACAGAGGTCGGATCTATAATTTTTTAAATTTTTGTCTGTCTGTCTGTGACCGCATCACAGAAAACCCACTGGAGGGATTTCTATGAAATTTGGATGAAATAGTGATAGCTGGTTATCCGGGTCAACATATAGAATATTTTTTACCGCGGGAAAATGTCTCATTTCTTAGAAAAAATGCAAAAACTGCAATGTTAGAGTATACTAATCTGTAAAACTTAAGAATTTGGTTTTTGGTCATATGAACGTGGGCGGAGCCGCGGGCAATGCTAGTTAAATATAAATGTAGGTCATCCTGACCGATATCAACTACGGCAGCCAGTGTCACTACGACTAGACATGTATGTAACAAATATTATAATGCACGAGTACGCGCGTATACACAAATGCACTCTCTATGTCTTTTAGTCTCAAAGGCCCAGGAATAACGGCTCTCTGAGGCACGGGGGATTAAAACCGCCAAAAATTCTTAACATAAAACCTAATAAATATACTTTACCAGACACGAGACTCGAACCCAAGTCCTACAGATCTGCAGACGTACATGTTAGCTACTGAGCCAACGAGGCTTACTTGTACTAATAATATTTGTTGTATTTGAATATCATACTTATACCACTTATATGTTTTATGTACTTACAATACAATCGATTTCTACCTTATTTATCTACACTAATATCTTTATATCTGCATAAATATTATAAATGTGAAAGTTTGTGTGTTTGTTACTCTTTCACGCCAGAACGGCTAAACGGATCTAGATGAAATTTGGCACAGAGATAGATTATAGTCTGGAATAACACATGGGCTACTTTTTATCCTGGAAAAATATACGGTTCCCGTGGGATAGGTTTGTTTTTGTTTTCCTAGAGGCGAACCCTAGCGAAGCGAGGGTGAGCCGCTAGTTATAAATAAGTAAGGATTTTAAGGTTGAAGTTTGTATGTAAAGTGTAGTCTCTGAAACTAGTGTATAGGTTATATTTATTACTATATAAAAAATGTATTTGCTTTCAGAAATCATAATATCAAATAATTGATAGAAAAAAAACCGATGAGTTACTTTATTAGTTGTTGTAAGGTACCTACGGACGTCCCCCCCCCCAACGTGCGTTCACCTTGTCGTGGTGGGGGGGCTCAGTAGTAGTAGCGAAGCTAAGAAACGCACAGGGAGGTTGCCCACTTCGGTGGGCGGTGGGAGGTGGCCCTCTTCGGGGGGGCGGTGTACCTTGCGGGTTGCTCCTGGTACTTCTCTGATAGCAGAGTGGACCTTGGAGCAACCCCATGGTTGTGGTGGTCTGCTTTGGCAGACCTGCCGTCGGGGCGTCGTAGTTGAATGCGTAAGCGATCCTGCGACGCCCCATTAAGACGGGGGAAGGTTTTGTTGGGTTTTAGTGGGTAGTACTGGCTGTATTACGCCGGTGAGTCCCACACGTCGTGCGAAAATGCATTTCCCAACGTTAAAAAAAAAAAAAAGGTACCTACGGACGCACCCGAGAGAAGCAAGGGCATCGCTAGTATTAAAAAAAATACAGCTGAATTGAGAACCTCCTCCTTTTTGTGGAAGTCGGTTGAAAATACGACACGTTTGGCTCAGTTTGTAGTATACTTGCTGTGCCAGCGGTCGAGAGTTCGTGTCCCGCTGGGGGCATTCATTTGTGTGATGACGAAGGTTTGTACTCCAGTCATGGGCGTTTATAAGTATTTATAATATGTATGTATTTAAAGTTATATATGTGTAGTGTATCAACTATGTATCTGGTAACCATAACACAAGCCTCGTAGCTTACCATGGAACTAGATGGTGCTGTGTGTTAATGTCCCAACGTATTTATTATTATTATTTAAATATAATATCTAAGTGAACTTCTCAATAGATGAAGCTGCCCAAGAATATCGAAAGGATAGAAAGAAAACTCATTCCACACTTTTAGACTGCTATAAATAAAATCGTAAATGTCGTTTATGCAAAAGCGCAATCTTAGAAAGTTTTTCGCGGATTGCTTGAAGTTTTGGCACATATATTTTTGCATTAAGAAAGTTTTTATACTCTACTTTGCTATAAGTCATTACTAGATGGCGCTAAAGCTTATCAACTTTTACACAGCTAAACCAATCCGCTCCATTTCAGCCTTTTGGCTACAGAACCCTAAACAAGTTGTTACCTTGTTCTTTTTATTATATGTGAGAGAAGCTACGGACGATAATTAGTTAAAAATAAAACTATTTTTAGAACCAATAAAGATAAGCACTAGGAATTAAAAAAAATGTACAAGAACTTCGTTTTTTAGCTTTTCTTTTTTCTAATAATGGCTTAAATGTAAATGAATTCTGAAAAATATGCAAAAATTCAGGAATGTAAAAGCAAAATTTTTGTTAGAGGCAATTATAAAATAAAGAATTTTATGGTACCAGCAAATTCTCGGCTTAACCAGAGTGCTTTTACTTAATTTTACGCCAAATAAATGTATTTCCAATCAAACTTTACCACACCTTTTCACCTTTTTAGTGGCTGAATTTAAAACAATTTTTAGTCGTCACCTACATAATATGCAGATATATTATAGAACAAAACTGTTAAAATTTTACCACTTGCGGTCCAGTCGTTTGCAGGCATTAATAAAAAAGAAATATATAAAAAATACATAGAAGATACGATATATTGCGTAGTGAGTGTAAGAAGCCTACTGTCGTGTACTGAATCGAACTTGCGACTTTTCTGATCCATATGCTTTATAAAGACTTTATACTAGTTCATTTGTATCCTATTTTACAGACAGCATTTAATTTGTATTCGGAGTACACACAATTCGAAATTTCAACATTATAGAAGGTACTTCGTTTTAGTACAAAAGCTACCCCACTTATTAATTCTAGGCACAGTAATTTCACCTAATATAATATATTTAACAATAATGAAATTGCTGGCTTTTTTATGACACTTTTCCAAGACTTAATATAATTTTTATTTATTTAAAATATACTGGAAATGAAGCTGAACTTTATTGAATTAGACTTTTCATATAAAGTAAGAAGGTAAATTTAAAAAATATGATTTTACAAAATATTTACTCGTTACTAGTGAAGCTAATATAATCATCTATACATATAATAAAACCGTAACTTAGCGAAGTCGATGTACGAGTTTTACACAAATAGTACTGAATAGACTAACTAAATTTTACATACATACATATATTGGGACATAACACACAGCACCATCTAGTTCCATGGTAAGCTACGAGGCTTGTGTTATGGATACCAGATAGTTGATACACTACACATATATAACTTTAAATACATACATATTCTAAATATAAACACCCATGACTGGAGTACAAACATTCGTGCTCATCACACAAATGTATGCCCCCAGCGGGACTCGAACCCGCGACCTCTGGCACAGCAAGTAGGGTCAATACGAACTGAGCCAAACTTTTCGTCATTTTGGGTAGTGATAATTTATTACTCGGATCAACATTTGGGATACCTTTTACTGCAGGAAAATCTTTCATTCCCACGGGAAATCATAATAACTGTTTCTATCAAATCATCTATTCGAACTATTTGTAACCATTGAATACGTACCTAGGGACGCACAAGCAAAGCGATGGTAAGTCGCTAGTATTAGATATATATAGTTATATAGTTTTAGACCACGAGCCTATATAATTTCTACCGGTGGTAGGACTCTGTCAAGCCTGAGGAGTCCGACTGGATGGGTACCACCCCCTTATCTATTTCTCCCGCCAAGCAACAATGATTACATTATTGTGTTCCGGTTTGAAGGATAAGGTAGCCAGCGAGGCATATCATCTTAGTCCTCACAGTGACAAGACACCTGCGGTTCTGCATTTTTGTTACATAAAACCTAAGTGCATGAACCGTAGGTGTTATGGGGGACGGGTACTGATTTCTATCAGGTGGGCTGTCTGCTCGTTAGTCACTGATACCATTATATATATAGTTTTAGACCAATATAACAGAATATAAATTGTTTGAGTTTAGTAATAAGTTGTGTTGAAATCACTTTTGATACTAGTCACTCTATTCACACGTAGTGCCCACATAATATAAAAATACATTTAAGTATTTTATTTATTTAAGTAAGAAGCCAACATAATATACAGAGTACTTTAAATAAAATCTTATAAAACTTTGAAAGAGGTACATTTTACAATTTAAATTCTTTTTCAAGGCTCTACTTTAGCGTGGTTAAATTACATGCAATAACTTACACCACAATTAAAAAGACTTGAAAATATAATTTATTATTTTGAGAACTAAAAAAATAATTTAAAGAAAAAATACTTAACAATTTAAGAAGAACTAGCCAAGTCTTAATTAATATAGGTTTTTACTTTATACCTGTTACATTTTGGTAAAGTTTTTTGTTACTTTTTTTATCTCATCTATCATTATAAAAATACATACATGGTATTGTAATATATGTAATAACATACATATTACATTATGCTACTAAAATACCAATAAAATACTTTACAATACCTAAAAATATTACAGTACAGAATCCTTAAAGTGTTATATAGTAGCTATAAAACGACACTTTATAACTAAATACGTCATGGTTTTTATTGCATTCTATTATGTCTAAGCTTAGAATCTTTAGTACTCATCATTTTCTTAATAGCCTTCAACGAATAATACAACCTAAGCTTGTAAAAGCGCTAAAAGTACTTGCTTATAAACACCTAGCTATTACACGCGGCTTCGCCCGCGTAATTTATCTGTTATATGTAATTGGTACGTTAATATTAAAAAAATCGTGTTAAAAGATTTTTTTACTTCCAGATTTAAGTGCGTTAAGATAAAAAAAATCTATTCAATTATAAGTTACAAGCGATCCTCGCTACACTTTGTTCCTAGAGATGAATGTTTTAGAAACACATAGATAAAAACATACAAAAAGACATAAATTTTTATTTACATAGATAAATTAATCAGCTGATGTTAATAGATAATTTGGAAATATATGTAATGTAATTCTGACACATTCTTTACACTATATCAAAATAAATAAATAAGTTTGGGACTTTACCACACAGCGCCATCTAGTTCCAAGGTAAGCTACGAGGCCTGTGTTGTGGACACCAGATAATTGATACACACTGCGTGATAATCCTTGCTTTTTAATTACAGATCATAATGCCGCACTTTGACGCACAAAGACAAACACTGCGAAAAAACACTTCTTATATTTTCTGCTACTGAGTTGATATCTGTTATGGAGCAGTACTTTTCAAAGTGCTCGATTGTGCGGAGCGTTCCTATAGTTGAAAAAATCGAAGTTGAGCATTATGCCGCATAATGCGCTTTAGTGCTGTAATTAGAAAACTAACAATAGAACAAACCAACATACACACACAAAAATTGGTAATATTGATAAAGATACAATAGATTCTAAAAATGATGCGTTTATATTGTATCTACTTAGCTTTTTCCATTTATTATATGAATAGAAAATATTTTTTCAAGTTTCGATATATAAATCGGCCACTTCAAGAAGGTTTCGACTCAGGAAATAAGGCACGTAACATTATATCCTTTTGGTAAACATTTGTTCCGATAACACGCTATGTACACAGTAATCTGAGTCGTGACCCCGCACTCTCTATGTTCAATATACATTAAATAAAATTATATTATGTGACCTTTAGACCAGCTTTATGTAAAAATCGCTAATTACCATGAATAAAAGTAAAATGATCTAATTTAATTTAATACCATAGTAAGTTGTATATATATGAAGCGAGTCCAAATCCCGGGTCTCGCACTTCTGATATTTTCATGTGCGAATCATTTCCAATATGATTACCACTTGTCTTAACGGTGAAGGGAAACATCGTGAGGAAACCTGCATGTCTTAGAGAACTTAGCAAGTTTTCGAAAGACATGTGAAGTCCGCCAACCCGCACTTGGTCAGCGTGGTGGACTATGACCTGATCCCCCTCGTATTGAAGCGAGGCCCTTGCCCAGCAGTGGGACGTTAAAAAGGGCTGAATACATACAATACATATATATATATATATATATATATATATATATATATATAATGGTCTTCGATTTTATTCGCCTGTGTAAATGAATAGTACAATAAAAAAGAAACTTTTATTTAAATGATCGAAAAATAAAAAAAAATATTTGAAATTAAATCTAACCCATCAATTTATCACATTACACAATTTATATGATATAAAAGCTCATGACAGCTTTATATAGGCTATAAAAGGTTGTTTTTAAAAATGTTTTATTCACATTTATTTTATTATTTTATTTTTTAGTTATTCGTATTCTTCTCAGCAAAACCTTTCATTTGATATCCATATCATGGGGGTGTGTAATATAAAAAATGTTTTATATTATCTAATTCTACGTGTCAATTTTTATGGCTTTTGGTTAAATGGTGTAAAATTAAAGCACTGCAACACCGTCTAGTATTGAAATATTTTAGTACATGAAAATTATTCAAGTAAAACTCTAAGTTGAACCGCGAGTGGTTTTATCTTTATTATATGTACGAGTATATTAACTAAATTTTCTAAGCACATGAAGAAAACCATTTATATTCAAATAACCTCAATATGATGCTTTTAGTAAGTTCCTTAATAACTGCCCCAGGCTGGAAATTCGTAGACGAAAGGGAAGTGATTATACAAAATGAGCTTTTAAAGTATCTTTTAAAGCTTACCACGGTAACTATAATAAATGAAATATTTACTCTTGGATGAAGTTAAGGAATATAAAGTATATAAACGGGTCTAATCTCTTAGTGAAAACTAAGTGTAGAATATTTTCATTTCTACCAGAAAATTTCGATCATGCCTTTCTTCGTGACATTGACGAAGTAAACTGTGGATAACTGGTACGCCTAAAGTCATAAAACTAAAAATTAAAATTAAATTGATTATTCGCCAATATACATGGAATGGAAAAGACTCGAAGGAGATTGGTCGGTAAAATAAGATTATTATACTACTAGCGGCACACCCTCGTTTCACGAAGACAAAAACAAACCTATCCCACGAGAACCGTACATTTTTCCGGGATAAAAAGTACTCTATGTGTTATTCCAGACTATAATCTATCTCTGTGCTAAATTTCATCCAGATCCGTTCAGCCGCATTTATAATATGAATAATAATACGGATATTTAATTACAATTTAAAAAAGAAGTGTCAAAGAATCTACAACAAAGAACAGCACAACTAATTTATACATAAAAATTCTAATCAAACACAAAAAAAATCTCTCACCGAATAGTGTAAGTAATTTGTTTCGATAGAATGTAAGTAAGAAATATTTGAACGATAGGATACCAATTAAATGAATATGACATACGATATCAAAATAAAAATAACTGAAATGCACGATTCATAAAAGCTCAGTACAACTTTCTACTAGGACTTCGTAAACCTGCAACTTAGAAACGTTGATCAAAGTAATTTTGAATCTAATCTATAATAAAATTTTTACAGCAAACGTAACATATAGAGATACTCGTAGTTACGAGCAGATGAATTAGGTACCTTTTCTTAATCTCAAATATTGTCAGCGTTTATGATCTATACAGCTTAAATCCACGACTTACGTTTATAAAATAAATAAATAAATACAAACGTCTTATTTTTTATATTTTTACCCAACGAGAACTCTTTAGTCACACGCTTTTTGATATTTTAAATAAAACTATCTTATCAGATTATTTTGCGGATTTATTTAGATTTTTGGTTCCCGACGTTTCGAATGCTTTACAGCATCCATGGTCACGGGAAAGACTAAGGTTATAGACGTCTCAAACACATACTTGTTACAGACAGTGCCTACCCACTATTTTACAGAATATAAGAAAGTATTACGCTTTTTGATTTTCACCTTTACCTATCTATTTATATATGTAACGGAATCTTTGAACGCGATTTCTACGCACTTCAAAACTTCAGATTGAACTGGAACTTTGCACATTTAACAAGAACCGATGACAATACAAACATTTATTAAAAAAGAAGTAATTAAAAATATAAAAAACATGCTTTTTAATTTTCACAGGTCAAACTAAAAAGTGGAAAATATATATAGTATAGAAAACTAAAAAACACGCTTTAACGCCTTCGTGGTTAGTTTCCGGGAAATCAATAGTTAACTGACATGCCGGCGTGTCCGCAAGCCTTGAAGCCAGATGAACCGAACTAAAAATTAAAAACAGTTCTAATATATTAACGAGTGTTTTTTAGAATAAAGTGATTAAAGAGAAAATTAATATTACTGTGAAAAAAGAGTGGGGTGTTCGATATCAGTTGCTATAAATATTCCATTGGTACAATTTCTAAAAGTAGAGTTATAAATACATTGTGCAAAGCACCCCACGCTTTTTTTACAATAACATAAATTTTCTCGATAATCACTTTATTCTTATACTAAAAAATATTTTTTAATTTATAGTTTAGTTCACCATTGAAGCGTGTTTTTTAGTTATTTTTAAATTATAATTTATTTTATCTTTATACTGCTATAAAAATAATCGTGCCTAATGACACTAGAATATAATAAAATAATAAAATCGTATATAAAATAGTCGTCCAATTACTACTTAACTGAAAAGGCATACTAACGTGAGGGCCGCATTCGTGGAATTTATATGATACCCTACGAAAATCGATTCATAATAGAGGAAGATATAGTACATAAATGTACAAACACACAAATTTCATTTTTTTGTTTGTAAAGTTCAAAAGGAATAAATTTCAATACAAACCTGCCAATGCTGATAAAGCACATGTGCATGATGCTAGCGGAACACGCAAGGACGTCACACGTCACGTACACGTTGCACCAAACAACACCCAACGGCCAGTAACCTAGAAAAGACGCTTACTAAAGGTATTCTATTTTGCTTTACTTAATTATAGTAAAAAATAAGACATTGAATACTGGATGGTATATTGCTATAAATTAAAAATTTAAAAAACCCCCTACGTAAATTAATTGTCATTTAACAATTACACTGGCACGCGTGAAGCATTTAATCGAGTAATCATACTCTAAAATGCCTTACATCATTTTGGAAAAGAGCTGATACTCTTAAACTGCTGCATCGATATTAACCAAACATAGCTATGTACCACCGCAAGGAAACTGGCTTTCAAATGAAAAAAACCGCATCGAAATCGGTTCATCCGTTTGAGAGCTTCCGATGCTACAGACAGACACACACACAGAGACATCGACGTCAAACTTATAACACGCCTCTTTTTGTGTCGGGGGTTAAAAATAAAATAAACATCAATGAAACTTTAAAAATCTTAAAGAATACTATTATACTTAGTATATACCTAAATAAATAGGTAAAGACAAAACAGTTCGATACCTTTTTCTATACTGTTTGTCAATCAATTTTTTTTCATTCTTGTTTAGTAACAATTGATAAGCTTTAGTGGTATCAATAAAAACAAATGGTAACGACCGAATTTCGATATATATATATATATATATATATATATATATATATATATATATATATATATATACTATAATACTAGACATTTATAAAATAGCTAATATGGTCTTGAATATTTTCAGAAAATATAAAAATTTAAAATATACAGAGTTTTCATTTGTTATACTCTAGAGGTTGCGCGTGCAATTGCATAAGCAAATAAACACACAGGTGAATACTATTGGAACAATATTTTCTTAGTATTGGTGTCATTCAAACAGAAATTTTCTGTAGATTCAACAATCAACACTATTCAGAATAGTTATTGTATTTATTAGATAAATACAGTTAATTGATAGATTTTTTCCCCTCTTTTCTCTTATGAACTGGTTTCTAACCAGAAGAAAGAAGAATTGAAAAGCTTCTATTAAGAGCTTTCCACCAGTCTTGTTGGATATTTTGTGCTTTAGGCTAGTGGTGCAATAGAGATTTTAACCTTACGAGAATCGAATCTAATCTTTAGAAAATAAATTCCTTATAATTTAAATTAAATCTTAAAAAAAATATTAAATTGACGAAATAAGCATGATATAAATTCTTAAAATATTCAAAATATATACTGATAGAGTGGAAAACTTTACACACGATATCGCTTAAGCCTTAAGCAGTCCTGGCACAAGTTTTGCGTTTAGCGCAAAAACATAATAAGCTGTGTGGACTATTTGAAAATTCATACAATTTAATATAAAATTATAGAAAAGTAAAATAAGCATTTTAAAATGTATAGAATACGTTTAGTAGCTTTAGACTGAAATCATCTTACTGAATAAAAATTACCTTAGATTTCCACTATGTAACATGTATTACATGCATTTTAAAATATATGTTTGTGTTGTACATCTAAGTTTTTCGAGCATTTGACATAGAAAAAAAAATTAAGTTAAGCATTCTTACCTAAAAATCCAGGTATAGCTCCCATCGGCATCACAAACAAACTGACGAGTAAATCAGCAATCGCCAGTGATAACAGAAAATAGTTTGTCACATTTTGTAGCCGCTTATCCAAACAGACGGCTAAGCACACTAAAATATTACCCACACCTCCAGCCACTATAAATAATATCACAAATAAAAAACTCCACTCGTACCTTGCATCACTATCTATGCTATCCCTAGTACTATTCTCACTCCACATACATTGAAAATTTTCAACTAAACTGTTATTTTCACTACCATTAAAAGAGTCTATGTAAAACGTCCGATTCCGTAACACATCACCGTAACAGAACAATGTATCCCATTCACAAGTACCTACATTCGGTATCCTCAACCATAAATTTTTTAACGCACTCTTATATAAAAGAGTCATCATGTTCAGTTTAAATCTAGGGCTACACTGAGTGTCGTTGCTATTGTAGTCCAAGGAACTATTGGAACATTGAAAGCAACTGTAAATAGTTTCATTCCGAAAATCTAAATTCAATTCACAGCTGAAGTCTATAGAATTTCCGTAGGTAATACACTCTAGACCCGTTGAAATGGATTCGTTTACACAGCTTTTGCCAGAAATCAATTGGCATTTGAAGTCGTCAAACGTCGGATCCAGATAAGTAAAATTCGTCATAGCCGGTAAGTTTAGTACATTTCAACAATATTAGGTCACTTTTTCTTGAAACATTTTTCTAATTTCTCGTCTAATTATTATGTATCTTCAAAAACCTGAAACAAGTAAAAAATTTATATTAGTAATGAACAATGAGTCTGTTTCAAAAGAGGTAATTTTGAAGTCTAAGAATCAGGCAATAAAATTGCGGAGATAAACAAAACGCGCTTTCTTTTAATCATTAGCGGGACCTTTCTCTTAGAAAATACAAAGACCTAAAGTAAAGCAAACAAAGAAACAATGCAAGAATTACGAGGCATTTTTACCAGCCATAATTAGTTTTTCTTATCGACGTTGTGAAGGCGGATAACTAAGTTTTCTCTCAGGTCTCTACTTTGATCAATAAGCTAAGACTGAATCTTATATTTGAATATAAAATCCATATGATACGTAGATCTGATGAAAGTCAATAAACAATCGATTTATATATGAATACATACCAAATAACTTTAATTTTATAGATAAAATACTTAAATATGTGATGTCCATATCTAATCATTATATATATTATATGTATACAATATATGTAAATAAAATTAAAGTGTCTGTCTGTGATTTCAAAATTACCGTTCACTCAAATACATAGAGTTATTTATAGGTTAGCAGTTTTAACAATCCGTTTTAAAAAAAAAATTGTATTCGACTTTCATATTATTTTCAAATTTTCTCGAAATCTAAGTCAAGGAAAATTATGCCTATGGATCTAACTTAATAAAATACTATTTAAAATAGCTTTAACGATCAATCGATCTAGCTGTTTCCGTAAAGTAAGTTAATAAGTATATTTTTAACTTAATTTTGTAATTTAATCATTTATTTCAGGCAATATTTACAAAAAGATCTTAAATATGTAAAAATTTGTCCATTATTATGGACTCACTACATTATTATGGAGTCATTACAAACTGAGCCAAACGTATCAAAATTAAATTAGTATTATATTTTATATGCGTAATACATAATAAAATAGTATTAAATATTATAGATTGTTTATCCTAGAATATAATAAAGCATTGACACAATAAAACATGGAGTAAAACAACTTAACAGGCATTGTTCTAATGTAAAAAACTAAAAATGTAATAATTTTATTAGGTTTTCATTGAATTGAATCTAACAAAATAAAAACCGACTTCAAACAAAAGCACTAAAAAGTAAAAAATAACTGATTGGTAGTTTTCATTTACTATACATACCTAATCAAATATTTTCGAAGTCGGTGTGCTTTGCTTTGTATGGGCTGGCACCGATTTCGAAAATATTTGATTAGGTATGTATGTATTTAATAGGTAGGCTTTAATTACTTAGCCAAAGCACACCGACTTCGAAAATATTTGATTAGGTATGTATAGTAAATGAAAACTACCAATCAGTTATTTTTTACTTTTTAGTGCTTTTGATTGAAGTCGGTTTTTATTTTTTTGTTAAAAAGTTTTTATTTTTCCCTTTTTAGTGTAGACAGTAGTAGCAAAGTAAGAATTCTAACGTGTTAGGCTTGTCGAATCAAACAAAATAAGCCCAAACTCAAAGTATCTACTATTAGCTGTTGAAGAGTTCCACCTATCCACCTTCTGGCCTTACCATCAGATCAGGTCAACAATACCGAACCAATGTACTATCAACGGAAATAGAAACACTTGCAAAGTTTCAAGTCATTATGACAATTAGAAGTAGGTTAAATCCATCATTAGCTATTTTTCCACCCTTAGGGGTGGTATTTTTTTTTTTGAAATTTAAATGGGACCAATCTGGAAGTATACCCTTTCAAACAAAACAAAAATTGTCCAAATCGGTTAATAAATGACGAAGTTCTGAGGTAACAAACATAAAAAAAAAAAAAACAAAAAAAAATACAGTCGAATTGAGAACCTCCTCCTTTTTGAAGTCGGTTGAAAATTATAACATATTCACTTTAACATGAGATTTAAATGTTATATTCATATGCAGTTTATACTTATGAGTGCTACGGATGTCGTATGAATTGATATGGAAATGACTTGGTGTAGGCGGAATGCATATTGTAATAAGGAAATATGTAGCGTTGGTCTTGTGGGTGCTAAATAGTTATTCGCTTGGGGCCTTGCTAGTTTTATATTTATTTATTTTTTTGATTGCTTATGATCCGCGATGTGGGAAAGAGGTTGATCCATTGAGCCTTGGCGTCGTCGACTGTTCGCTGAGGGACCCTGCCTAACATATAAACCCTGTCGAACCTACCTTCTGTCGAGTTATTAAAATTTAAAATTCTAAAAACTATAAATTAAGACTCTGTGTACTGATTATTCTAATAAGATTTTACAAAAAATATTTAATGTTCAGATTCGACTCAGAATTTTATAATATTATTATGTATAGAAAAACCGTTTTTTTTTTTTACATTTATTACTCTAAATTATGATTATGAAAATTATGTTAACACAATAGTAAAATCATTCATTGTAAAAAGCATTGATTGCCAGTCGATTTTGCAATTATAAAGACTCATCGACCGAAATCCGGCGGAATATTTTAACTCTTGAAGAGTAAATTGAAAAAGGTGCCAAAACGATTTATATTAGATATTTGAAGCTGTGATTGATGATCAACGATTTCTTTAAAATGTAGCCGATCATTATTATTAAGCGGTGGTTCAACTTCTGTGACCTTGGCATGCATGTGTTTATTTTGCTGAAGTACCATTTATTATATTTATAGTATAATTGGTATATTATGCTTATTTTAAGCGAGTCTTTAAGTAACTTAATGTGGCATCACAGGATCGCTTACGCACTCAACCACGACGCCCCGACAGCAGGTCTTGCTTTTAATTTATTATATTTATTTGAGAATGTTCTCAAATATCAAAGTGATCTTTTTTAACCCCGGACGCAAAAACGACGGGGAGTTATAAGTTTGACGTATCTGTGTGGCGTGCGTGCGTGCGTGCTAGCGTGCATGCGTGCGTGCGTCATCGTATCACGACGCACCGAAGCAGAACCCAATTAGTTGCTCCACGGACTTCTCAGAAAAGTACCAGGAGCAACCCGCATGGTACACCGCCCCACCAAGGTGGGCCGCCTTTCAGTGCATTTTTTAGCTTCGCGCGCGGGGGGATTGCCTGGCACTATTGAGTCCGCCCCCCACCACGGGGGGGGGGGGGGGCATACTTAACCTAACCCGTGACTCGCACTCAAAACCTCCGGATGTGCAGCCGTAGATGCTAGCCATTAGTGACTAGATCAACGAAACAGTTCATTGAAATTTATATAACTAGTCAAAAATAGTCTACTTCTCCGCCTAATGAGGTACAATCTCTACATTTCCGACTATTTCACCTTTCAAACAAAAAAAACAAAATCAAAATCAGTTCATCCGTTCGGGAGCTGTGAACACGCACGCACACACGCATGCACGCTAGCACGCACGCACGCACGCACACACACACACACAAATACGTCAAACTTAAAACTCCCTGTCATATTTGCGTCAGGGGTTAAAAAGGATCATTTTGATATTTGAGAACATTCTCAAATAAATATAATAAATGAAAATGTTAATCAAATGAGTGACACAATTTTATAAAATAGCTATTAAATATGTATGTAACATAGAGGAGTAGAGCCGCATTAATGAAAACTTATTCATACGAAAACGCTTTGAAATGAGCTTTTGCATTTCAAAGTTACCATTGAAAATGTCGCTCCATTTACCAAAGCAGAGATCTGATGTAAGTGAAAAAGTAGTATGGACGTCAAAAACATTGTATTGTTATTTTTTAAAATTTTCAAATTAGCTTCTAGTTCGTTTTGTTTTTAAAGTTTAAATATTCATTACTTCCCTTTTAGGTATTTTTGCTTCTATAATTAAAAAAAAATTAAATAGTCCTACTTCTAAATTTTCTACAATATGTATCTAATTACGCGATTAAAATATATAGCCCATAGTTTTAAAAATAGTAAGGGAGCCCAAGAGAGGATTTTGATATTCACTCAAGCGCGGCAGATTAACGTAAGGGTGGCATCTTGCCCTCTGTTGAGTACCTCCATAATATATAAGTCCTCTGTATAAGGTCGCGCGTCTAAATCAAAGCAAAAGGTTAGGTACCTCAAAAGTAGTCCCAAGTAATAAGTAAGTTCGTCAAGTTAAATTTCTGTTCTTTCTTAAACAGTTTTGTTTTTCGAATAATCAATCAATATCAAATTATTCAGTCGTCAACTTAGTAACCAACAACAATTGTATGTAGTTTGATAACTGTTGTGTAATAAAAACCACCAGTGTATACTTCAAATGTATAATAATTATTGATTCACATATAAGAATTACACCAAACTTGACACTACATATATCACTGCTTTACTAAAATTGCACAACACAATTTCAGCATAACTTCACCGTAACTCTTCCTAAATTAGAATGAATCTCAATCATAAAAAGTACTCGTTATATAATAATTTTAATTTCAACCAAGCCACCATTTTAATAATTTTAATGTCACTTCAACTACTTCCGGCGTAATCACTAAATCATAATAATCCATTTATGTATTTAATTTA